GGGTTTCTCGCACGCACATAACCACTCCCTATTTTCATTCATTCATCCGTTCATTCTTAGTCTTGCGCCTTTCAAATACCATCCTCGCGTAGTCACTTAATTTTTCAAAGTGCTCTTTCGTATTCAGACATTCACTCACGTTGATTATTTTTGCATTCGTTCTTATTCCCATTTCACTCAAGTTTCGTATATCCACATACAACTCACTCTATTAACACATGTTTCCAATTCTCGCTCCCTTTTCCACAATCACACATCGGATTCTCTCCAAGTTTCCTGTCATACAAAAACTGATTTAAGCTCCCATGTCCAGTCATCAAATAATACGCGTACAAGGATGGATCAAACCATTATTTCTTCCTTATTTCACTCACTTCTGATATAAACTCATATGTTACCCTTCTTTTCTCACTTGCATTCCATTTTTCCTGCTATTTTTCATACATTCTCTCTTGGACATACTTCGTTGATCCTTTTATTCCTTTCTCATCCAGTGTTCTTTTACTTACACATTCTAATACTACGTCATCTATCATGCCTTTTTTAATTCTGTATGCAATCCGTGCCTCAAACATCCATGGTAGTTCACCCATCAGTACTTCCATTGCTTCAGTCGATACAGTCCGGCATACTTTTAGGCATCCATACAGGGCAACTCGTTCACAGCTTTCTAACATTCTTCTTCCATATCCTTTCTCTAACACTTCACTCCAAACACTTACACCGTACAATGCAAATGCCCTTAAACACGAGCTCTATTACAGTCGTTAGCGAACTGTCATGAGTACGGTATAACTTCACATTGGTCATAAAATAGGAAAGTACACATTATACTAAAATATTCCCATGTGGGTATTCACTTCTTGCCAGCCGTCTGAGACTGATGGTCATGTTCTAATCAGATTTTAAAAAAGTTCAGAACATCCATAATTACATCTATTTCGTAACTAACACTAAGAAAAAATTGTGCATCATTAGACAGAACAATAAATGGCAGTAAACATGAACATTAAACTAAGTTAAAAGGAACGGACAGGTTTTTGAAATGTTCCCTTTTTAGAGTATTATTAAAAATATAAAATATATTAGATGAGAGGGTTGTTGGCGCTTTCCTAAGTCATGGCTCGAGATTGGGGGGGGAAGGGGGAGGAACCCCGAGGAAAGTGATATTAATACAACGATTCATATTGGATATGGCTCCCGATGTTGGGAACGTTTACCTTAATGATAGAGGAACGCCGGGTCACTGAATTGAACGCATGCTTAAAAAATAATGTGGACAGTGTCCTATAGGGCAGACTCTCGTAATACGACATGGGGGTCCCGAATATAACCGAAAGAATCTGATTTGATACGGGGAGTCAATCACTTGATGAACGAGATTCATAATGACGATGCATTAAAATCACTCCGAATTGCTGAAAACGGCCGATAATCCGACCTTCGCAAGAACAGAAGTGACCTAGTTACATGCGGTCAATGGGACTTACATATCATCGAGTTAGCAGCTCGGTGGAAAATTGGAATAGGAAGCTCGGCGAGGCGTCACTGCAATTAGCTGAAGAAGATTGGCTTGGAGATCCGCTTAGCACTATTTTGAAGGGGCTGGGCGGCCGGAAGTTGGGTATCGCGATCACACTAGGAAGTATATCGACCGAAAGACTAAATTTTAATACCAATTACGTTATTTTTATAAGGGTTTATAAGGGTTTTCGAGCGTGAGGACAACGAGGAAGATGTAACAAAAAGATCCATTTCTTTTGCCATAATTAATGGCTGTCTGACTACCCAGAATACTGGCAAATTCGTTAAATTTGTCGGTCTTGATCGCAAGTGTTTTGCAGTTGGAGTAATTTGATTGGGTCGAAATTTAAAGAATAGACCTATTCCTTATATGGGGGTGGAATGTGTCACTCGGTTGGGGATGTTCTGGCTTCCTTGGAGGACGACTCCATAATATGGGTCTCGCCGACTCTTCGGGGGATTGTGTGGGGACCGCCTCACTTCTGTCGGAACGGACGGCCGGCCTCATTTGGTGCCCTTACTAGCACCTGGTCTACGGATTGGTTTATCTGAGGTGTGCGCTTCCTCGTGGCGTTCGTCGGCGGCTTGCCTGTGACCTTCTCCTTCTGGTGCGTCCCAGGCGCCGGGGAATGGTTCGGAGGTATCCGAACATTACTCTGAACTGATAGCGTGCGTCGTCCGGAATAGAGAAGGGCGTCAGCGTGTCTTCCACGGTTTCCCGACCTCCGCATTTCCTGTAGCACGGGGTAGTTCGCGTGGGGTAATGACGTTAGCGTCGCTTGCTTAATACTCACTTCTGCACTACGTTCTTCTTCAATTTCTTTTAGAAAATCGGAAGTGGTTCTCGTCTCTTCTTGATCTTTGGTAAATATTAATAATTGAGAATACCACAACTGAAGCTCATAAACCTCGCCTGAACCCATTCAGAATGGGACTCTTTCAATTTTTTCAACTCTTTCCTGAATGCGCTTCTCAAATTATTATTAATTTTTTTAATGACGTAATCTTTTTTTAAGCAAGGGTGCAAATTCTAAGGGGGCACGGTCTGCACAAATGCGGACAATATGTAATACATGTAAATCAGATAATGAGGGAGAAGCAATGTATTCTTAATTTCTAATACTTGTTTAACTTTAACAGTTTTGTTTATGTTTATACATACTTCGAAAGAATTCGACCATATCGTATCAGCGCCAGTATTGAAATACGTATCGGTGGCATTAAATACATGCATATATATAAAAAAAACTGAAATTTTCATTTTGTCTCTTCAACACAGAAGATAGGACCAATTAATTAAGTAAGCGTACTCTTCTTTTTTTTTACCTCGAAGAAAATTGAACTCAGATTCATAAAGGACAAGTGCACAAGTATAGTCTTTGGCATTTCTATTGAGACACCACTTGTTAATTGTAAATTTGGCAACGTTCATTTTCAGACAATTTTCTAACTAAAAGCCGTTGTCAATCAACTGAAAGCTGTTACCAGTTGCTAAATTTTAAGCAAAATCAACAGGTGGTGTTTCAATAGAAATGGCAAAGAAAATATGTTATCTTATAAAATTTAAGGCCTACTTATTATGAAAAATTTTGAGGGGATGTCATCACGTTGTTGGTGGAGATTATCAAAATTTTGGGTAGCATTTAACTGTGTACATGATATTTCTAATGTATGTACAAAATTTGAAAACAATCGGTTCAGCAATTTCGGAGATTACGTGTCTAATAAAAATCGATAGACAGACAGACAAATGGATGGACGGAAATGGGAGACTACTTTTTTCGTACTGTAGGGGTCATGAAACGTCGAGAAAATATAAAAGTGGCCATTCGTCCGATGGACTCGATTACTATACTTCCTTAGCTTACGCTCGTGAAGTAAAAATTAATGACAGGTCTGATTTTATACAACTTCTCCTCTGGATTCGGTTCTCCAGGTGTCAGATTTCTCGAAAAATGCAGTGAGCGCAATATTCAGTGATGTGTGATTGTCCGACTAATTATTTTTATTATTTTCCGATTTGTGTTGTTCACATAATTAAGAAAAAATTATGTTATTTATTATATGTATTTATAAAATTTTCCTGTAAGAAAGATTTTTTCGTCCCATATATTTTTACTGAGTTATTAATAATTTGCAACATTTGCAATCAAATCCTTTCCACTTCAAAATCTCCCAAATTCTTACGAAATTTTTTATGGTAAATGCCTATTTTTTAAACTGGGAAGTTTAGCTCTGTCTAGAATTTTTCACTTCAAATTTCATGGATTCAGAAAATGGTATCGCCTCATTTTCCCAGAAGTTCTAATGTTTTGTGGAATCATTAATATCAGACCTAAAGTCTTTACCTTCTTTCGAATATTTATTGCTTCCATTAACTGAATCGAATAACATCAAAAAACAACAGTAGCTCCACCGGATCTTTGGTTCCACCGCCAAAGGCTTTCAAAGAATCAAAAAAATATAAATTAATAACAATAATAATAATCAATTTACTGTTTTTGCTTACCAAAATTCCCTGCTAAGTTGACTGTATACTTGTGGCGCATATTTAACCTTCATTTTTTTTATTTTTCCTGCATATATATGTTCATCAGTACGATGTGGTAGAGGGCCTTCAATCCATCAAGTGAATTACTGCCGTTATCTATTTCATATAATTTCACAATATGTTGTAATATTGCAAGTTTTTTTCTTTAATGCCATACGTAATACTCTATTTATAAAATTATTTCCTATACCTTTGAAAAGGTGTGGAGGATCGAAAATTGGAAATATATGTCATTTTTTCATAAAACTTCCTTCTACGTACTCACTGCCATTTGTAAGGCAGTCTTCCTTCGTTTCTTTCAAAAAGTTATTTAATACCTTAACGTTGGTGGTCACAGACTGTGGCAATTGGGTTTAGACCAACTAAGAAGGGCTAAAATTGTTTTTACCATTTTTTGAATTTCGTGTCCTTTTTCTCCACCTTTTGAAGAAAAAGCATAGCATACTGGTCGCTTTAATTACTCTTTGGTTCCTCCTATCATGAAGACTAGTCCGTGATCAGTTATCTCATGAACACGGTTACTTTCTCCAAAATCGTGGAAACCTTCGACATATCCCTTTCTTTCATTAAATGTAATATTAGGTTGAATCGACATTTCATCCCACATCAACGTCATGTAACGTTCTGACGGTGACATTTTCTGCACTCTGGCTCAATGAATTAAAAATTTCCATATTTACGCCAGCTTGAAATTGAATCTCTTTTAAAAAGTTGGTCAGTGCTCTTTTTCTGGGTAATGCAAATATATATATTCGAGAAAACGATATGATTTTGGGCTTTGTTTATAAAGTGTGTAGAGTGTCAAAGCCAAAATTTTGTCCTCCATATTAAAGCGACGTTGTTTACTTGATTTATTAGCTTCACGTAACTGACATTTAATAAATTTTATTCTTAAACTTATTTTAATCGCCGAGGTTCCGGCGATTTTTCGAAGAGGGGGGATATGTGTGATGCAGTCTGAGTTTTGGAGTGGTCTTCAAAGTCTCTTCTTTCAGGTTACAATGTTTATTTAAGACGTAATGAAGTTGAACAAGAACAAAAAAGGCAAAGGCGCGCCTAAAAGGATAATAATAAATACATTTTACAATTTGCAGTAGGTACATGGTGCTAGAGCCTCCCCAAAGAGGTAGCTATCGGTCTAACTTTGTAGCAAAGTTTCTTTTGCGGACTTGGTGAAATAGGGCAAGACTGTATGTCGGCGGGATTTTGACATAATGATAAAAGGAGTCTGTCAAAATTGTTGTTGATTCCGATACCAGGGATAGAAGCAGTGGCGATGGAGGGGTGGAAGTCAATAATATTGAGGGCTTGGCCCAATGGTGCCAGCGCAAGGCCCACTTGTTGCGAGGCCAAAAAGTGAGTGGTTGATTATTATCAAAGCGGTTAGGGCCGGAATCAGTTCGGAGTTTAAAATTAGCGCCTACAAGTTGGGGCAATTTTTTTGGTTGGGCGTATTTATTTTTAAGGGCCAGTTTTTCCGAACTGTTCAAGCTGTTGGCTACATAATGTGTCCAACGACTAGCGAGAGCCGTGTGCAAGGCCAACTCGGTAGTTGGTGTTTTGAGGGATCGGCGCCAGGTATGGGCAAGATCTCCTCTTCTAGAGCCGGATCTTGGACCGCTAAAATGGGCGAGTCCGGTTCTGTCTCCGCACGAGAGGCTGAGCCCGCTTCTGGCTCCGAGCGAGACGCTGAGTCCGCTGGTTTCTATCGCGCAGGTTCGGAGCGTTTTAACTCGCTGGTGTAACCGACGCTCGCACCTGTGTATTGGGCTGCGTTAAGGTAATGTCAGACACAGCTAATTTTGCAGCGCAACTTTTTGGTTGCCGCTGCAAAAGGTGCATGTCGTGTTCACACATATACGATCAAAAACGTGTTGCGTGCAGTTTTCTGTGCTGCGGCTGCCTACAAAAGTTGCGGGTATACAAAGAAGTTGCATAGCTATTCACACGGTGTGTGCAGTTTTGGCATCAGCCGCTGCATTTTACTGCTTCCTGTGCTGCGCTTCCTCTGCTGTTCGACATCATTTTTAAGAAGTCGTGGTCGTGAACGTGTCTCCTAAAAAGTGAACGAATGGTGGCCGAAAAGTGCAAAGCTGCAGCATGTCTTGCGGTAATCTTGCTCTACAGGAGAAAAAGAAGAAAACAACGAACTAAAAGAAAAATTTGGGTACGAGAGTGGATCCAAAAAAGAGAAGAATCTGGAGTCGTTGCCAATTTGCTGCAAGAGTTAAGACTAGGTGATGAAACCTTCTATCGAAACTTTTTAAGGATGTCAGTCACAGATTTCGACTATCTGTTAAATAAAGTATCGCCTCTCATAACAAAACAAGATACGTTAATGAGACGAGCTATTACACCAACTGAACGGTTAATCGTGACATTGCGATATTTAGCAACTGGTGAGTGTGTTCAAGCGATTTCTTTGCAATACCTATCTAAACATGTATACGTTTTTAGGTGATAGCTATAAATCTTTAATGTACTTATTCCGCATACCAGCTAATACAATTTCAACAATCATACCGGAAGTTTGCCAAGCAATTTATAATGTTTTGAAAGACGAATATTTAAAAGTAAGTAAAAATACTGTATATGAAACTAAAAACAGTGTTTATTCTGCGAACATTGTTGTTGACATTCGTAAGAAATGACCCAAGTTGGAGTCCTGCGACTGTTGATCTTCCTTGCTTTCATTAGGTTGTGATCCTTCGTCCCACGAGCTTCTCGAAGTAGTAGATGGTGAGGCTGAAGGCACCACAGTCGCTTGCCTGTTGTTATGCCTTATGGCGTGTTCCATACTGGCATTTAAAATTAAGTTTTGGATGTCATATTTCAGCTTGAACTGGATGTCTGGCGAAGTGGTCAACAGTCTAAGTTCATTTGCCACATATTCTCCAAAAATCGTAAATTCGTCGGTACGAGTAGATGCCGACAACAATGTCATGCACGTTTTCAAGGCAGTTTCTTCTTGTATATCTATACTGCGTTGATTCGGGCGCCGTTTCTTTGGTAATGGGCGCCCCGGAGTCTTCAAACCCATTGGTGACATTAATGCTGGCTCAGCAGCCAATGGGCTACCTGATTGTTTTTCATTACTCTCTTGTTCGAGTGGTAGCGCTTGTTCGAAGCAGAATTGGTCACTGGAAGATGAAGGATGACTGCTATATACCTCACTTATATCATCAGTACTATCCTCATTAGCTGCTGCTGCACCCTGCAAACCAATTTTACAAAAATAACGACATGATTTTTCCTTTACATATTTTGTTGTATAAGAGAAAGGCACAATGCAGAGTACTAATTCGCGTTTTTTGTTTTTCCAACTATAGATACCGGATACAGAAGACGAATGGAAGCAAGTTTCTCGTCACTTTGCTGAGAAATGGAATTTTCCCAATTGCTTGGGAGCTATAGATGGGAAGCACATAAATATCAAAGCGCCACCAAATAGTGGAAGTCTATATTTTAACTACAAACAAGCGCATAGCATTATTCTCATGGGTTTAGCCAATGCCAATTACAAATTTTTGTATATTAACATTGGCGCTCCTGGTCGCGATTCAGATGGCGGCGTTTACATGAATTGTTCATTATCACAAGCGCTGGAAAACAACACACTCAACATCCCAGAATCAACACCATTGCCAGGGAGAAAACAACCTATCCCCTATGTTGTTGTTGCAGATGATGCATTTGCATTAAAACCGTATATGCTGAAACCATTTGCTTTCAAAAGTCAAAGTGTACCAGAACGTATTTTTAACTATCCTCTCTCGAGCCCGAAGAATAATTGAAAATGTTTTTGGAATTGCTTCAGCCCGTTTTCGAGTTCTCCGAAGAACTATGGAACTATCTCCACCCAAAGTGAAAATAATTGTCAGTGCTGTGTGTGTATTACATAATTTTTTGATGTCTCGAAAACGTTCTTCAGCAGTATATGCACCATTAGGTACTTTTGATACAGACAACGAGGACGGTACAATCACGTTAGGCACATGGCGTAATACCGAAGCAGTTGTTCTGGAGCCTCTGCAAAGAACTACAGTGCCTAGAAATGCTACTATGGCGGCAAAAATGATTCGAGACGAGTTTAAAGAATATTTCTGTCGAGAGGGAGAAGTTCCCTGGCAACGGTATTATATTTAAAACTGTTACCTACACATGTAACGACAGCATACATACTTAATAATTATATACTCACTATAGAATCTATTGTTTTTGTCGTGCCCGTGTGGCGAAACATAAATTGCAATGAATCAAAAAATTTCCACTTCGTCTTGTATAGCTGCCCTTCAGACATGACAGAGTGTGTCTTGGTCATTTTTGCGCGTTCTTTGGAGTACTGTGCTCTCAGAGTATGGATTTTTTTTTACTTCCTCATTCGCAATCTTGAGTGCTGCAGCAATTTCCTCGATGGCGTTTCTTCGTTTGATCTGATTATGGTAATCCTTGTGATTGACATTCCACGGGGAGTTTTTTACGTCTTCGCGTTGCCATTTTAATGGTTGCGCCATTTTATTCAAAAATCAGATATCTACATATGTATTTTATATAGGTACACATTTCAAGTGAATTATTAGCGAAATTCCGTAGATTACTGTATATATTTCTTACCTTATAACTTTGCACTATGTGCCTTCCTTCACCAAAGTTGTAGAACTGCGCCTGCAGTCGCAGTAAAGTTTCACCCAAACATATATTTTTTGTTGCACGTGCAGCATTAAAAAATACTCGTTCACACACAGCAACTTCTAATGGTGCGCGCATCGTAAAAAGTTGCGAGCTACCATACTGCATACGCTTTTGCTGCAGCAGCAGAGGAGTGCACACTTGTGCAGCATGATTTTGTGCAGTATATTAATTGGCTGCGCTGCAAAAGTAGCTGTGTCTGACCTTAGCTTAATCTGGAGCGGCTGACGGACCGACGAGAACACCAACTTTTTATGTGCTTATTAATTAAAGGTTCGAAATTTTGTTTGATAGTACCATTTTTCATTGTGACAGGTAGTTTTACCTTCTTCACTGTATTCTTTGGTACAAGTCTTTCCATTAAACACCTGTTCGAAATTTCAAAGTATCGGACTGGTAGTGTTGTATGAGCCGTGATGAGGGAACCGTTTTCCAGGTCAAGTTTGGCCTTTATTTTCTTTAAATTATCTAGTTCTAGTAATCCGTCAAACATGCTATGAAATTTATATCTGTAAAATTTTAATGATATTTTACAATTAAATTCATCAAACGTTGGTGGAACCAAAGAGAAGTTGTGACATGAGGAACCGTGTATTGAGGATGTTTTAAAGGGTTCTTCTGTTAAATAGGAATTAAAATAACGATCTGTTATAAATGGATCCAGAAACGATTTCGTAGAGCCTGAATCTATTAGCAGTTTTAAAGGGGGATTTGAAATAATTATCTATTGTAATTATCCGTTATCTAAAGTTTCAATATGAATTACTGTTATTCTGGCAACCGTATGGAATCTGGGTCGTAAAAATCCTGTTCGTCGTAGTTGTATTCTTCTTCATGATCTGCTTCTTGAGGCAAAGCATATTCTAAGGCTTCTTTTCCATTTTCGCTGCGGTTGACGAAAAGCAGTTTTATTCGTTCGAAATCTGTTAATGCCACTTACGGGTTTGCCAAATACTTTCTGGGCTGAAGGAAATGTATTTGTCGGAAAAGAAGGATTTTTATGTAGAACTATGTGGTGTTTGAGGCCAGGTAAATCTAACTTGTAAATTGTGGTGGTTTAGGAGTATTGTTTAATAGGTGGGCGATATTGAGGGTTATTTCGTTAGCTTTGTAAATGTAAAATATTCTCTTCTTCTTTTATGAAATTTATTGCATCTAGCAATGTCACAGGAGCTCTTGCTCTAATAAGTCTTCCAAGAATATTTTCAGGGCTTGGAAAGTATACAAGCCCATTTTAATTATTTTATTTTGTGGTGTATCGTGTAGAGATAGATAGTTTGATAAAGTACTCAAAACTTCCAGGATTGGATTATAGAATTTAAGTGTACTATCTGAACCTTGGAAAACATTGTGCAAATCGAAAATGAAACTTGCTTCATTGCGGTGGTCACTAAAATTTCTTATTGATTCACGTGGGATTTCGGCAATTGTTGTTACACAGGCTATGCTTATACCATCTTTTGCTGCACCATGTAACTTATTAATGAATGGAGAAAATAGCAACTTATTCTGAAAATTATCGGCGTTTACATTGTAGAATTGGCATGTAATATTGTCCAGAGTTTCTATAAAGAAACTCAATTCTGTAGATTTGCTATCAACTATTAGAATCATGTCAGCATGAACTCTTGTAAATTCAGGCATTTTTATTATAAAGGAAAACGAGACAGAAAGAAAATTAGGGGTTAATTAAGAATTTTCTGGAAAAATTACTTGGGGACTTTTCAGGGCCGTATTCGCATACACTTTCTCTACTGTGTATTAATTTATAATCGTAGCGATCCTTGAGGGAGCTTCGATATTGTAGTATACCTGTTGAATACCGGGTGAACACAAGTGAAGTTTTTCACGATTGAAAACTCCCAGTATCCTACCAACTGCGCCAGTTAAATTGTAGAACCTTTGTACGTTAAAAAAAAAGGTTTATTGAAGCAAAACTCAACACTGTAAAAGTTTTTCAAAAGAACGTTGTTTACGAAAGAAATTATTCGTCCAAATTGTTGTTGTTGTTCCATACGCGTTCGTAGCACAAAAGTCCGTGCGCACAATAAGGTATCACTAGTACGGTTTCACTACCCACGCGGCTGCACCACCATACAGTTGTCGTTGAAACCTTGCGGGGTATAGCCCACTCGGTGTAGATACTCTTAAAGTTCGTTGCAGCCGGCGGTCATCCAGTGCTGTGGAGCTCACCCGGGAGCTGAGGAAGTTCTAATACCAGATCTGAAGCTTATCCACCTTGACCGGACACCCAGTGCTTGCGGAGATCACTTTGAGAGCTTGTGGAACTCTGTCGATGTCGGGGGTGCGAGGCTTCTTTATTTCCTATTCCTTCTCCTGCTGGGGTTGGGCGTACCTCTAACCAATGGGATTGAGGGTGGTTGGTGTGGAAGTTATCGTACCAACCGCGGAAGTGGGGACGAGAGTGCTAACGCAGGGCGTCTGGCGAAGCATAGTGGTACTTTTATGGGGTAAATGTTACAACACTACAATATTTTTATAATTTACTATATGTTGTTTACATTTAAGAATATAAGTGAGAACTAAACTAATTTTATTTACACAGGATTATTTATACTTGTTCTAAAGGAAATTGTGGTGTGTTCATTTTCTGCAACTTGTTTGTGTGAAGTGGATATCGTCTGGGAATACTTCTGTAACAAATTGTGGTTGGGATGTGTTGACACCAGACGAAGAAATCCCACTTACAGGATGTTTTCTTAACGCATCCAAAGATTTAAAGTGCGTCGCCAGTACATACGGTTCTTTAAAACCAGGCGTTGCGACAGCAGATTTAATTTTTTGGTCATCTATACCTCCCATTATCAAGTTGACCGGATCTTCTCGATGACATTTATGTAGCATTGATATAATGGATTCCAAATAAGACAACCATACATCAGACATGAGATAACATATGCCTCGAATAATATCTTAATAGTATTTAAATTATTGAAGTTTTTACATGTCCGTATTATAAACCCAAGTAAAGAAAACGAACGTGCATTTTCGACCCAACCGTGGCGGTATTTTTCATCCCTGATTCCGCTTTCAAAATAACAAAATATGACACGAGAAAACAAAATTTTAAGTATAAATCAGTTCAATCATTTAATCATCACAAATCCATTTGGTATTGTCAACGTTACTTAAAAATAATAAAGCCGATAGTCTTTTATTTTGAAGATGACTTCTTTATCGTTTAAAATATCACCTGCCTGACTAAATAAACGTTCACATGGTACAAAGGTACACACGATAGACAAATATTTCCTGGCAATTAAGTACATTTCTGGAAATATTAACTTGGCGGAGTTCCAGTACTTAAGTGGATCCTCATGTCTTGATAGATTTTGATTTAGGTATTATTGTAATTGAATTGGCACCTGGTTCATCTTGATTTTTGGAGATTGTAGATGAAATTTCGTCATGGATTGTCCATACATCGTAGTCGGTATTTCTATTAGAATCTGGATCTTCAAAAACGATTTTGCCATTAATATCACTTTCTTTGTATTGTGGTAGTAGTTTAATTAAAGCGGAAATCTTTACAATCACATTTGCTAGAGTTATTGGGCCTCCAAAATGAAGCTTTTTATCTCTTGGGTCCAAAACCGTTGAAATAGATAATATTTCATTTATTTCAATTGAAGACTTCAGAACAAAATCTTTTTATGACTTCCGCTTTAGATTTTTTAACCCATTATCGCCGAGAAGTCTTTTTTTTTCTTAAATAGAGAAAAATGTTGTGGAAAAGATGAATGCATTTTTCTGAGCAGTAAATACAATGCCAATCTCTTTGTTTTGCAGATTAACCTTTAATTTTTATTCCAGGCATTCTTTTATTCTTCTTATTGTCGTGCCCAAATTGTTTTTAACCGCGGTCGAGCATTTGGACACTAACAAAATTATTTATTTGGGTGTAGGAAAGAGCTAAACTGCATGTAGGGCAAGAGGTAATAATTAAACGCTCCTAACATTTTGATACATTTATTGAAAGATAAAACTACAAGCGTAATAATAGAATAAATGAGTAAATATAAATCTGGAAGATGGCAAAATAGAATATGAGGTTAAACTTACACAACTAACAACATGCAAAATTATATTTAAAGCGTTACGCAATTTTGTTCCATTAATACTTCTTAATCCTCTAATGTCATCATGAAATTAACCTAGTAAATCCCTAATTATGTGCGATACCTTCTAAACCATAATAATATTACGTGCGTGATAAATAAACTTCGAAAACTGCTAAATACGAATTCGAGTAATGCACTTAAGTATTTAATAAACTGCGACTGCGCATTTACCCGATAACTAAGTACTATTAAAACAGCTAAAAACAATAATTAAAACTAATAATTCAGTGAATTTCAAAGAAATCTTCCACTGAGAATAAAGAAAACCACTAAAATTAACGAATTAAAACATGCACTTAAATCTACGCTAAC